GGGGGGGGGGGGAGGGTGCGGTTGGTTGCCGGAAGTAACTGGTCCAGGTGGAAAGGAGTTCCACAAAAAAGCCCCGGCGGAGATTGCCTTCGCAAGATGTCAATAAAGGCCGGGGGGGGGGGCGCGGCTCCAGGGCGCGGATCTTTCCCCAAGGGACCGGCTCGATCCCGAGCCCCGCCCCCCATCGCCGTGCCCCCCCTCGCCCTTCCCCGGGGGGGGGACCGGGCACGGAGTCACGTACGCCGCGCATTGAAGGAGGTCGCCAGAAGCCGGGCCCGTGTGTACTGCCAAAGGATTGGCGTCCCTTCGTTGGCTGTGAGGTCTGCCGTCCCGGCGAGGGCCAACAGGCGGAGAGAGAGAGAGAGAGAGGTGGCGTCTCCAGGCCCACAGAGGCACAGGGGAACAACAGATAACAGGGCAAGATATACCCGAGGCCGAGCGCGCGCAGGCGGAAAGTTAACGCTTTCGGCAGGGCCCAGCAAGCGCCGGGGGAAGGTCGCCGGCGTTCTGACCTCCCCCACGCGCACGCCAGGCCGGGGTCAGGCGCGTGCGCCTATCGCGTGCCTCCGCCCGCCCCCGAGACCACGCTCCGGCTCCGCCTTCCACGGTCCGCCGGCCGTGCGGGTGGGCATGCTCCGCTCTCTCCACACCCCGATGCCCCCCGGGCAGCCGGGCTGCCCCCCGGTGCGAGGGATAAAACCGTGTCACCCAGCTGAAAACTTGGCCCCTTTATGGCCCGGCCGTGCGGCTGGGGGCGGATGCCCTGCGCCCCCCCCCCTCCCACACGGGCACAGGCATTCCTGTGATGGGCTTTTCACCCGGCCGCGTACGGGGGGTGCGTCGTCCCCGACGTCGATGTGTTTGGCTCTCAAAGCAGGCCAATATTAAATCGAGCATTTCCGAGCTACCGCACCCCTACCCACTTCCGGGGGGGGGGGGGGGGGGAGACGGCATCTACTCTCCTCCGTGTGTCCTCCCCGTTCCCCCCCGGCCCGGCTTCGGCTTCGGCCCCGGCAATCCCAGCGCAGGTCCGCGCGCTGGACAAGGGCGCGCGCACACACACACACACACACGGGGAGGAGGAACATAGGTCCGGCCTATTTCCGGCGAGAGGATGATAAGATGCGATACGATGTGCGGGCACAGTCCCCCCCCCCCCCGTGCACGGTTGGGGCGCGACCTCGCCCAGGCGCGCGCGCGCGCGCGCGTGCGCGCGGGCCAGCTCCATGGCTCGGGCCGGGGGCCGAGAGGCAGACGTACCGGCACGCACAAATAGGGTTGACGCCAGGCTCCAGGCGAGGGGACAGCGACAGGGATGGGGGGGGGGGGGGGGGGGGGGGGGGAGATCGCTACCCCGCCCCCGGGGGTGGGGCCGCTCCGCCGCCCGGAGGGCCCGGGGGCAGCCTCCCCCCCCCCCCGGGGGAGGGGCGGCGAGGGGATCCAGCCCGGCTCGCCAAGGTTGGCATTGGCCGTGGTCGGGAGACCGCGGAATGACCCGCGGGGCTGGATCACGCGCAGCATCCCCGCGAATCACACCGCGGCCCGGTCACGGCCCGGACTGACAACCCTCCAGACGGCGCCGCGTCTTCCTCGAAAGGGCCCCGTTGCCCTGGGGAGGCGGGCGTGGAAGGGGGGGTGGGGGGGTGCCCGGCCCCGCTGCCGGATCTCCCTGTTTCCGAGAGTGCCACCGGAGCCGGCCGGGGTCTGGGCGCGGAGGCGCTCTCAATTCGGCACCCGACCAGACGAACGCTTACATGAGCCGCTCGCCCCCCCCCCCCCCCCCCCCCCCCCCCGTAGGTTGGGGATGGGCTTGTCTGATCCGTGAGGCGCACCCGGCCCGAACGTGACAGGGTGTCACCGCCGGCATTGACACGGGTCGCCTCCAGCCGCGATCGCCCGGCGCCCCGCACCGGACCCGGGGTCCGCGGCCCCGCCCGGCTGCGATCGGTGGGACCTGGGATCTGGACGCCCGCCAGTGCGGCGGCGGTGTTGTTGTTGTTGCCGGAGGACTGCAGGACGCGGTGCGGAGCGGGGGATGTCCCCCCCCCCCGCCCAGCCACCGTGCATGCAGACGTGTGCGACACCTTGACTCCAGGGACGCCGGCCCTGGTGACGGTGTGTACGTGTGTGTGTGTGTGTGTGGCCATCAAGCCCCCAGGCAGGCACCATTGCCAGGCTCTGGAGACCAATGAGCCTCGGGCCGGCTATGTCCCCCCCCCCCCGCACTCCCGACGGCAGAGCAGCAGGCCACACCGGCGATGCTGCACGGTGCCAGATATAAGGCAGCGGGCCCCTCCCCGCCAAGCGACGCCGTTCCGAGCCCCCCTTCCTCCCAATTCTCCCCTTCCCCAGCGCCCTCCCCCCCCCGCGCTCCCCTCCCTCCGTCTACCTCTCCCTCCCCCCCTCCTCTTCCCCCTTCCCTCTCCCTTCCGCTCCCGCCCCGCCCCCCCCCCCACTAAAGCTCCAATGACTGCCGAGTCCGCTGTTCAGCTTGCCACTCGCGGCCTGCAGCACGCGGTCCCCGACCGGAATGTTCTGTTCCTGGACCTGGACAACAACATGTACCCCCCCTCGACCGGTATCGACGTTCAGATGCTGGAGCGCATCCAGGTACATATACGCGTGTTCTCTCTGCCCCTCTCTCCCGTGCGTCCATGCGTGCTCACAAGACCCCCCCCCCCCCCCCTCCCCCTCCCCCACGCAGGCCTTCTTGGCCTGGAAGCTCGAGCTCGACCCCCGGTCCGCACTGGACCTCGGCCGGTACTATTACCGCACGTACGGCCTGACCGTTCGCGGCCTGGTGCTCAACCACAGCGACCGAATCAGCGCCCAGGAGTTCGACAAGCACATCGACGGGAGCCTGGACATCTCGATGCTGCGCGAGGACCCGGCCCTGCGGGCCATCATCACGGCCGCCCGCGATGCCGGCACCGAGGTCCTCATCTTCACCAATGCCGGGATCACTCACGCCCGGCGGGTGCTCAAGGTCCTGGGTCTGGCGGACTTCTTTGTGCCAGCCGCTTGCCAGGGCCCGACCGGGTGTTCTCGCGACCCGGGGACTTGTGCCCCGGCGCCGGCCGTCCCCAAGTCCGACCCGCTCTACAGCCGGCCGCCCAACTCCCGCTGCGGCCGCGTCATCTACTGCGACTACTCGGCTCCGAACTTCCCGTGCAAGCCCGAGTTTGACTCGTACCTGGCCGCCCGCTGCCATGCGTCGGCCGTCCTCCTTGGCGGCGCTGATGGGACCGCCCTCAACATGGCCTCGGTCTTCGATCTGCCGCCTGTGCCGGCCGCGCGCAGCTTCTTCGTCGACGATTCCGACCTCAACATTCGCATGGTGCGCCTGCCCGGCCTGCCGTCGCCTCCCTGCCCTTCCTGGCTTGGGCCCTTCCCTCGCTAACTCCCTCCCCTCGGTCCATATGTGCCTCCACGCCTTCCTCCTCCGCGCTTCTCCTCGGAATTGCCTCCCCCCTCTGCCACACATCCAGGCCCGCGCTCTCGGCTGGCACGCCCTTCAGCTGGATCCCAACTCGCCCCACGGAGCGGAGGTGTGCCCGGAGATCCTGTCGGCCGCTACGGCCGCCGTCAAGGCCGCCGTTGCCGATACCGCGGCCGCTGCCGCGGCTGCCGCCACCGGCGTCGACGGAACCATGATGAACCCCGACTGCGCGGACAATGCGCGTGCCATGGTCGAGGCCGCCGAGGCCACCGGCCTCAAGGCGGCCACCGAGGCCGCCGCCAACCCCACGGCGACCCCGGCCCCCGACGCCCCGACCCCCAGTGGCCCCTACTACCCGCCGATTCCCTACCTGGCGCTCTTTGTCAACCGGTTTGCCGTGCTCTTTGGCGGCCCGGCCGGCGTCCAGCGCACCTTCGACGCCATTGCCGCCGAGGAGCAGGCCTTCGCCAGCCCGACCATGATCCGGTCCCGGCCGTCCGGCATCGAGGGGCTCCCTCCGCCCCCGACCAGCCGGCCGGTCACCTCGGCCGCTGCCGAGCTGGATGCGGCCGAGGCCCATGCCGACAGTGGCGCCGCTGGTGCCATCATCACCGAGGCCGGCAAGGAGTAGTGCATGGTCGATGCCCCTCCCCCCGCCTGGGCTCGCATTTCCCCCTTCGCCCCCC